TTCTTCATAATTATATATAATGATATGTGTTGCTATTATGTTAACTATTTTAACTTGTTATGAGACATTATTGAAAGTTCGAAACCTCAAAAAAAGTAAAGAACAAACTTTACAAATACTGAGAGTTCAAAAATAGGAAATCATAGCAAGGTAAAGAAAGTTATCATTTATATTCTATAATTTATTAATATTTTGTGAAAGTTCTAGAATGTTATTCATTCCACTACATGTTGCTAGTCTAGAAGAATATTAAGAATTCAATAAAAGGAAACTATAGCAAGGTAAGGAGAATTGTTTTTTTGGATTTTATATTTTATTGATATTGTGTGAAAGTTTTAAATTTTATCAATTCCATTATATATATATATATATATTGCTAATTTATAACAAATTTGAGAGTTCAAAAATGGAAAAATAAAAAAAGAAAGGAAATCACGATCATATCAAGAAAGATTATTTATACTAAGATCCTGACAATGGAATATCAATATTCAATGTAATTATCTTTCTTTTTTTCTTTTCATTTATAAACTATGGTTTTAGTAAATATATTGCATTTCATTACAACAATCTAACAGGCCTGATAAGTTTATTATCGAAAGGGGATACATGATGTCTGGGTTATACATGAATAGAAATCAATCAATGATAATCCTAAAACTATGTCTTGACTACTATAAACCCTTGTAATGTTGAATATTAAATTTCACATATACTATGAATTATTTGCTTATAGGTATAAAAAAAAAAGTTTAGACAATAAAGGTAGCTAATAGAGCCTTTACACCACTCTCAACATAACAAAGCATTACACTAACATTCATCAAAGAAAAAGAACAGGCTTCAACATCATGATTTTGTTAAATTGAATTGAAGACCAACTTTTTTGTTTTTATTTTTTAGCATAAATTATACATAAAGGTATTGGTTGATAATTTTATTTGCCCAAAAATTGTTTTTGTTTTAGTAGGTGTTCTAAAAGTATAGTACCAAGTTTAGATCACAACAATTTAATATTTTATAATTGTTAATGAAGCCAAGTAAATGAGTGAAACGTTTTGTTTCACGGATTCAAATGCAGCAAAAAAAGTTCATATGTCAAACATTGTGTTTTATGCTTTGAAATGTAAATATATAGGTTATAACACTATTTTCGTTTTTCATTTTTCATTTTTTAATTTTACTAATGGCAGGTAGTTTAGAATGGTATGATTCAATTTCAAATCATAATACTTAACTATCACTCAAATCTTAGCAGAAAAAAACAAGAAAAAATATAAATTAATAATCAAAATATTTGCTATATAGATATTTACTTTGAGCCAAGAAAATGTTGGGATACCATTAACAATAATATTAGTCTTATATAATTACTCATGACAGAGCCAACAAATCACCTCCCATTATTCATCATTAATCACTTAAAATACAAAATACAATAAACTTAACAAAGTAAACATCAAAACCAATTTGTAGAATTTCTTGCATTATCCTATTCTTAGCTTTTAATATAATTATTTCATCAAATAAGTCATTAGTCTTGATTCTATAAATAATTTTTCTTTGACATTTATTTTCACTTTTTTACTCAACATTCATTCTTCTTGATGTTATATTTTCCTCATTCAAAATTGAATTCTCTCTTGTTAAACTTTTATTTGCATCCTTAAATTATATGTCGCTTCATTTAAAATTTTCATACTCAATTGTTCTATCACACTAAAGAAAAAAATTGATAACATTTAGCATGCACCCATCAAATAATAAGTACCTTTATTTTTAGCACTAAGCATAGTATCAAAACCAATTCAACGTACCGAATTCATAATCAAGAACCAATCAAGTTAATAATCAACTTCAATATACGGAATTCATAACCAAGTTTAATATACCAAATTCATGCATTCATTACTAGGCTACTGTAGCCAAAAAATTCTCCCTCCAAGATTCTCATCATTTTTTGAGCTAGAAGATCTTTCTTTGTGCAATAACAATATACTAGGTTACCTTCATAATCATAAGTGAACATTTTATTTTCTTTACATGTTAAACAATTGAAATTAAAGTTAGACTAATTCAACATATAAATCCAGTCATTTTTGGCACAGTTAGTTTTGTATTTGAAATCCCTAAATATAAAGTTTAATAATTGAATATATACCTCAACATAAAAACTAAAAATTGAACTTACCAAAATTCTTCAATTCTTTTGATTTCCATCATTTTATCTCATTTTCTAGATTTTGATCTCCAAAATCTTAATATTATAGCTTTTGACCTTTTCAATTTTAGATATTTTCCTTCGATTCAAAACCTAAGCAACTCATGATTACCTACAAATAATGTTTGAAGATTAGAAGAAATCGAGATTTCAAGGCTGTTGAAATTGAGGAAATCACATAAGAAGCTAAGCTTTTAATAGCCAAGTTTGAAATTAGATTTTGATTTCTTTTAATTAGAAATCAGATTTTTAGTTTTGGTTTTGATTTAGAAATCAAAATTCTTATAATCAAGCTAAATTTTGATTTCAGTTTTCAAATGATTAATGTTGAGGGAAATCAAGAAAAGCAAACAATTTTTGGTTTTTTTGGTTTTGTTATTATAAAATTTATTTTTTAAATTTTTAAATTTTTTAAGTATTATTGATTAAAAAAAATACCATCTAGCATTTTTTTAGGCAAGAGTGACAACAAAAAAAATTTGTTGCCACATGTTGAAAAGATTCAACATAACATACATGGCATAATATATGTCATGTCATTAAATTTTATCCATTTCATCCAATTAACTTGTCAAATCAATAAAATAAACTTCACGTCATAAAGTCAAAAATTAGGTCAACTAATTTAATGTAAATTAATTGACATAGTTAAGATTTTACTAATATTACAAAATTCAAATAATATGAGAAAAAAGTTTAAATTTCATGTAAATACAAATATTAATGACATAATTTGACTTAATTTAATCTTTTTTCAATTTGCATCTTTACTGAATAATGTAAACTCATTAATCACCTATCTAAAGTTAAATTTGATATAAAAATTAAGTAACAACTTCAACTTTTAGATAATTTATCACTATACTTACTTTATGGTATATATATTTCAAAAGATCTAGTCACATATATTACTAATTTATTTTATCTTAGGTCCAAATGGTTTAGATGATGGGATATGTAATACTTATAACAAATAATAAGTTGATTTGGGCCTGATTTAGATTTGAACACTCCCATGGTGAAGTACGAATACTTATAACAAATGATAAGTTAATTTGGGCCTAATTTAGATTTGAACACTCTCACGATGAAGTATGAATAAAAAGGGTAAACACGTTATTTTTGTATTTGTATTATAAATTTATGGTGTGTGATTGTGTTACACTTCAGTCAGTAACTAGATTCTCATGAGTCTAATGAAAAATTGTAAAACTCAGTTGAGGTGTTTTTTCACTTTTAACTCTATTTTATCTTATATTTTTCAACATTTTTTTTCATTTTATTTTACTTTAGTTTTTTACTTGAAGGATTTTAAATAATTTATTTTTTGAAAAAAATTAAATTATTTATTATTTATTATTTAACATAAAAATAATATAATAAAATTTTAATTATTTATTAATTCTATAAATATTAAATAATTTGAAATTTTTATTATATATAATTTTTAATCAATGTTTTTAATGATTATTTTTTATTCTCATTATAATTCATCTCATTATCACTGTTACTTTTTGCACCAAAATAAATATCATACTATTGATTTTAATCTTATAGCTATAGTAATTAATCTCATTTTCATCACTGTTTTCAATTTTATCGGAACTAATCTCACTGTCCATCCAAATAAGAAATCCATTTAGATGGTGGCGAGATTGAAAACAACGTTAAATGAAATTAGTTATTGTAGTTGTGAGATTTGATATTATAATGATAAGATTAAAATTAGTTATGAGACTTATGTCTAGATGAAAAAATAATGATGTTGGTGAAATGAATTATAGTGAGAAAAAAAAAAACGACAATTAAATACATTAGATTAAAAGTTTTGTATAATGAAAATTTTAGATTCTTCGTCATTTATAAAGTTAATAAATAATTAAAAATTAATAAAATTATTTTTATATCAAATAATAAGTTTGTTAAAAATGATAATAATATATTTAGACAAATTAAAACTTAACAAGTAATATTCAATTAATTATTATTTTTTATTTATTTAATAAAATAATATTAAACATATGAAATATAAAATATAAAAAAAAATAAATAAATTGATTTAATTATAATACAAAATAAAAATAACAAACTTAAAAAAAGTTTAAGAACTAAAAAGTGAAAAGGTATTATGGTAAAAAAGTGTAGTGCAGCTGCTCACTCAACTTTTTCTTTCAATAAAAAATTGGTACTCTAATGAGTATTAATTTGATCAATTCAATTAATTTTAAATCAAATTAATGAATTATGTAAAATCATATTAATTGAATTATAATTTTTATTTTAATTAAAATTGAATCAAATTTCTTAATTTCAAAAATTAATCAATTGTAATTAATTCAGTCAGTGCAGTTAATTTTTTCGATTAATTAAATAATAAAATATATTAAGTTAAATTATATTTTAAATTCTTAAATTCTTATATTTAAAATAAATTAAATAAAATCATCTGATAAAAGATATTTAAATACCAAACTATTAAATTAAAAACTTTAATAACTTGAAATAAAATGAGCAATTTTATATATTTTTAGTTTTATATATAAATTTTATTATATCTTGATTAAAATTTTGATTAATTCAATTAATTTAGTTTTTGAATCAGATTAATAAAAATCAAATTTTTTTAAAAAATTATTGTTAATAAGTAATCAAAATTAATTCAATTTTCAATTAATTAATCAAACTAAATCACTTTAATCAATAAATTTTATTAAAATCGACTTTTGAACCGCTCTAAATGCAATAAGAGGCTACACCGCGAGGCATCCTAATAGCGTGAAATGATAATATTAGATCTGCCAAGCATTTCTATGTGGTTGGGTTTGGGTTTGGCCCGAGGCCTGGCCTTGTCTGCGTTTTGTTTGTTTAATTTTTAAATCTCCCTTTTTTCTTTTAGCTTAAGCCATAAAGGGCAAAGTTGTGTCTTCTCCTTCATTTTCAGTTTGTCAGATCTCCATACTCTGAAATTTCCTCCGACTACAGCCCTACAAGTGGCTGGCCGACGGTCTATATTTCTTAGTCTTCTCTCTCTGTCCTTCTCGTTGAAATTATAGTTTCACCCCAAAGATTTTCCTTAATTTTCCTCACTTTTTTGAACGAAAGGTAGAGAAAATAATCAGTCTCAGTTTTCTCCCATATTTTCTTTAATCCAAAATTTCTCCATTTTTTCCTAGCACCCATTACACTTCGTCTTTAATCTCTCTATCTTGTTTTCTGTGTTTGGTTTTATTCATTTTCATTCTAAAATTGCAAGACGGAAACTTTTACAAGCGATGAACAAAGGAACGGGAGTCGGAACTGGGCCAACGGCGGCGGCTGCAGCGGCTGCGGCACAGAAGCAAAAAACTATGATGCAGAGAGTGGAAACCGACATCGCCAGCATCGTCGACAATTTCACCCAGCTTGTTAATGTTGCCCGCGTAAATCTCTTTCTCTCTTACTTGAAAGCGATTACTACAATTTCTTCAATTTTAAAGGGTATTAGGACAAGATTCTTAAACTTCCCTGAATGGGTTTTTCATTTCGTTTCTGAATTTGAATTTAGAAGTTGGAGGTGGGAAGTGGTAACGCTTCAACTTTAGGATCAGATTTCACTTTATTTGTCCTATACAATGTTGGAAATCTTTTACTCATTTACGTGATTCCGTTATGTTGGAATGATATCCTTTTTTTTTTTTTTATTTGTGTGTACAATGTGTTATAGTCGAATATAGATGGTATTGCATATTTTGAAACGAATTTATGTAATGCTCAAAGAAAATGCATTTATATTTTTTCTATCTACAAACTAAATATAAAATAGGTGACCTTGAGCATTGAGCCTCAATTTGTTGAAAATGTTACTTGTAGAACATCTTTAGATAAAAGATTTTCTCGTTAGTTTTGGTTTTAGAATATATTTTTTCATTGGAATGAAGCAGTTTCTTGTGCCTGTTCTATTGAGTTTTAAACTTTTTATAATCCTTTTTTTTTTTTAATTCTTATGGTATTAGATTGGTTAATCATATGACTTCTTGCTATGAGAATATAATTTTTTAGCTGTCCCAGTTCTTCCTTTTCTCTTCCATATGATTCTAGGGATTAAATCTGCCAGCTTAGAAAGTGTTTATTTTAGTACATTGATTAGAAAGGCGATATTATTTTAAAGTCACTGATGCAGCTAATTTGGTCATGGACGGTGAGGTTTAGAAAGACAAACAGTGTTGCTAATCATTTAAAAGCTCATCATTTTGGTGAGGCGTTGGCTTGATTAATCATTTGGACAGTGAGGCTGTGACCCTTTACTGAAAATTCAACTGAAATATAATCTGTTAAAGGTGGTTTGGTAGATGGTTATTTTCATTTTTAACCCTGTTTTGTTAGATGTTACATTTACCTAGGAACTACTTTGCTTCTTGTTGGTAGCTCAGTTGAGGAAGCAACATCCTCTTTGGTGGCTAAGACTTTCTTTAACAACAAAGAAATCCTCTTGTCTAACATGAGGTGTCTATGGTAACTATTGAGTCAGTGTTTTGATTTAATTGAGTCTAAAAATCAAGATGGTAAATTCCTAGTTTGCTAGAATCAGCTTTCTCTGTTGTCCATTCCAAGTTTTGATTCATTTTTATGGTATTTTTCATTTTTGAACAACATTTATAGGGCCTGCTCATTGCTGCATATAATGGTTTTGAGTGTCCTACTCTATGTCTTTTATACAACTCTTTCTAATCTGTATTGCCGTTGTTTTTTTTTTTGGTAATTTAAGTCATTTGATAATTGTCTTTCAAATTGTAATGTTGTGATTGACTCTTTTCTTAATTTCTTGTTTGCTGATCATGCTTGGTTTTATGGTTTGAAATTTTAGACGTGTATTCTCCTAGACATTTCTTTGCAATAAAAACCTAAACTGCTATTTTCTTTAAGCCCTAACTTTGTATTAAACTGACTTAGGCTGATTCTATAACCTTGTTGTATATCAGTGGGTTGCATTAAGAAATTTTTGAGAAAGAAATAGGCTTCTCATGAGGAGTTATTCTTTAGGTTTGGAACCTTATGAGATTGTTTGATGAGTCACTCTGATGTCCATAGATTTTATGTTTAATTTAACAATTCACATGCCAGCACCTCATTGCAGGTAAATGATCCACCAGTTCGAAATTCACAGGAAGCTTTCATGATGGAGATGCGTGCAGGCAGAATGGTGAGAACACTTCATTCTCTATCAACATCTTTGTCATATTTATTTAATCTATAACACAAAATACATACATAGAGTGATACATTTAGAGGTCCAGTACCTGACTTGTCAGATGATATAGATCCCATGATAAAAGTGCTTTCATAAGGTCCATGGCACAGATTCATGCATCTTCATTATTGTCTTTTCCCTTGTCATTCTTCATTTCCATTCACTAACTGCAGGTGCAGGCAGCTGATTCTTTGCTTAAGTTGGTGTCTGAGTTAAAGCAGACGGCAATCTTTTCAGGATTTGCATCTCTTAACGACCATGTTGAGCAAAGAACTGTTGAGTTTAACCAACAAGCAGAAAAAACAGATCGAATGTTGGCCAGGATTGGAGAGGAGGCAGCAGCGAGCCTCAAGGAGCTTGAATCTCATTATTATTCTTCTGCACAGAGGACAGCTGATACTGCATAGCCCTTAGAAACAGCTTGTAAGCGATGGTCTCTAAACAAGTTCATATTTGTTGGTTTGTATGAAGAATATAAAATATTAAATTCTTCCCAGATCTTTATCTACGTGCTCCTTTTCAAATGCCATTGTCTAAATTGCTTCTGTTGCATTATCTTTTTTTATTTCTTTTTCTCTGTTGGTGTGTTGGTTATGGGCATTACAGTTGGTTTAGCCAGATTGTTTTTCTGCCATTGTAAGTTCTTTGTGACCTAGAACGTAATCAAGTGGAGTCTGAGTCACATGGAAAAAAGGATTATCATTACTTCGGAATCAAACTAAAAATTCGAGCTCACTCCCTCTATTATTATTACCGAAGCTACTTGTGCTCAAATTCGGTTTGATAATGAGTGCCAAATTCAAATATAACGAGTTAAAAAGGGCAGAATTGTTTTTCAACAGGTAGACGAGAGATTTATAATTATTATGAAATGATGGTAAAACATTCTGTACATATAGAACTAAAGAGAAAAATATTTCCTTGAAATCAGTTTAATCCTAGAACAGTGAAATTCCCCTTGAACAATACATTTATCATCCCTGGACAGGACTTTTCACAGACAGAAAAATAACAGCTTGTATCGCTCACATCTGCTTAGCAACTCACCAAAAATATCGCCAATCGCAAACAAATTTAGCACCCTACACAGAAAAATTCAGCAGATGGTCCCTTTACACAAGCAAAAGGGCCTCTTTGCCTAGGAATCTCAATTCAACATATAATTACAAACTTCGAAGTGTGTCCACCCGATCAATGACATCCAATGCCTTGATCCGATCAATATCAAAGTCGATGAAAGGAACTGAAGATAGCCTCCGAATAGGGAAGGGATCTTTCTTAGTTTCACTTGTCGGGGAGTGGCTACTGCTTTTACTCAACCTATGGTGCTTGCTTAACCTAGTTCTTGCAGTGTCAAATTCCTGGCTCTTACTTATTCCAGGTGTTTTTCTCCTCTTACTCACATCCCGGAGCATCTCTTGGTCTTCCACTGTCAAAATTGGTGATGGGGACTTCTGTGTTGATAGTTGAATTGTCTTCTGGTTAGGGGACCTGATTGGGGACTTCACAGGAGATCTGGTTCCACCATTGCAAGACCTTGCTTGGGTAACAAGATGGTGAAGCCACACTACCAGATCAAGAATATAAACTTCAGTTTTCTCCTTATCCGCATGGTGTAGCGTTTCAATCCTGAGCAAGTCAGTCTGGCCAGCAGGTTTACGGTTCACTTCAGACCTGAAAATTTACCACAAAAGCTGAGTAACAAAAAGCATTAACACCAAGGAAAGAAAAACCATCTAAATTCAGAAGTTACCCGGTGTTTGCCCATTCTCCAACCCAGCCAAACCCATGATGAGCCCTAGTTGGAACAATTTAGTACAATAGAAACAAGGATGAGTAATTGGAAAATTAACTTAGAAGAAGAAGAACAACTAGCGGGCAATGACTTCAGGGATGGAATCCAGACCATGCCTTGTGAATGGAAATAACAAAATGTCAATCACAAAATAAGCTACTGTGAGGGAGAGCCATTTACTTGGTTGTATTAGTGGCAATGGGAACAAGCCACTGCAATGTTTTCTCCATTTCAGCTTTAATCTGTGGGACAGTTAGCTGCAAAGAAATTTTGAGAATGTTAGTCGGTGGATATTACAAGTAAATATTTCCAACAACAGGCTTCCGGCTAACAGCATTGTCCAAATCCCAAAAGAACTATGATAGATGAGTAAGTAGTAAGTAATATTTCAAGCATCAAAATTATCAAAAATCACACCTCTTCCTTTATCTGAAATGACTGCAGTCTGGGACGTAGAGCAGACTTTATAGTAGGTGGCAGTCCTTGGTATAATGAATCCCTTGTATTACGGGGAACAGAACTTGATCGAGACACCTGAGAAGATTTGAGTTATGAACTGATCAAAACCCCCGTTGTTGCTGAATAGAAGCATATATATACATATATGTATATATATATATATATATATATATATATATCAAAATTTTGAACATTTTTATGCTTTGAGAGGAAAAAATAGAAAAGGAAATCTCCCAAAGCTCCAGTACCGATTCTTTGGATGAGGTTCATATTCAAATAAACATTCATATGGCTACTTGTACATTTATCTAGGAAGAGAAAAATCATAAAGACTCCAGTGCACCGCATTTTATCATAAACACTCCTAGCAGACTCATAATTATGCGCATAATCATGAGCATATACTAGATATTTTAATCCCATATTTTCTTGAATATCCAAAACAGGTTCTTTACAGAGTACCACAAGAAAATCCACATCATTTTGAGGAAAGAAACAAGAGGAGCTCTAGAGACCCAGAACAAGCTACGCATCATCCCCTCCAGAACATATTCGGTAGTGGCATCATGATCTTTCCAAGCCATGCTAACAAAAGGAAACCATTAATTATTCCCTAGCCACATTCCTTATTATTATTAAAATTTCCTCATTAAATATCAAGTTTCAAATGCAATGGAGAGAAAACTTCACAAAACAGAAATAGAATAACTGAGCATTGATTCCATTATCTATAGCATGTTAACTATTGTGTGCACAGATTGTGCCACACAAAATATTAGTTGGTCCATATTCATCATATGCCTAAAATGTTTATCTGACTTGGAATGATAAAAAAGCCAACCTCCACATATAAAATAGGCTAGTGAGGTTAAAATCACAACCAACTCTCCATTTCATAAAATAGTCAACACAGATACAAATTATCCAACTTCTTTATGTTTCAAGTTGATTCCTGCTAGACATCCATAATAATTTAGGGACTATGAAACATAACATACTACATGACAAATGTACGTCTGTTCACTTGAAAGCTAGAAGACTGCCAAATGCTTAGGCCCATTCAAGGATAATTTAAAAGGAAAAATATCCAAAGACAAGCAGACCTGCTGAATACAGCAAAACCTGTTTAATTAGCAAAGCTTATAGCGTAGCAACAGAACTACTTTCCCAAGTAGCTGCTGATGATATAGACTTCAAGAATTCCAGATTAAAAGCTTCTTTTGATAGGTTTAAAATCATCAAAATACATAGAAGATACATAGTAGTCATTTCAGGAAGTAAACCACCGAAACCACATATTCTTTAGTTTGGATAACAGCACATTATTGTATCTTTACATGTGAACTATTGTAGACAAGGAAACAAGTAGTTTTACTTGTTATATGTACAACAGTGCTGAAGAGAAACCATTAATTATCTTTAATTCATTGCAATAGTGCTTGGAAATGTAGTCCACAATTTTGTTTTTTCAGTTAGGTTATGTTAAGCATCAAACCCAGAATCAATTGGTTATATGCACAACCTGAATATAAGGCCTACAACAAGCTCTAAACAAATGTAAGATAACACCACTAAAATACCTAGAACACTTATAAAGCTTTTATCAACTTTGGTAAATGAATTCATCAGGTCTGTTGCTGACTTTTCTCCAGTTTCTCTTTTCTCTGTTTGGGGTAATTTTCTTGATGTTATTGATTCCTTGAATCAGAATACTACTAAAGTTCTTCACTCTTTCTTTCTTTTTTTTTTTTTTTTCTCTGTAGAACTTTCTTGTAAATTTCTAGTCACCCCTCAATGATGATAAGTAAAATGGTAGAGCAACAAAAAGCATGAATGCTCTTATGGTGTATCACCAAGATTGTAATACAAAGTGTTCACCATCCTAAATCTCTAAAAACAATATGTCCACTCAAAAAGACCACCAAGGGATCAATTCTGTCATACTTTCTAAGTCTTCCAGAAATATACCACCACAAATTAGAGGAGAAAAAGAAAAAGGGTAAAGAAAATCCAATTTGGAAGAAAATGATAAACTTACAAGAGTATCAATTTGAGTAATAATATTTGCATAATGCAACGCAAGACCAGCTGACCCCAACATTTTGTGACTGCTGACTGAACCTTTAACAGGTTTATCACCATCTGCAAGGTCAGAGGCAAAAACCAACACTAATAAATAAATAGAACAAATAGCTAATTCTGTGTTTCTAAGTGGATTATAGGTTTAAGCATGTGCATGAGCCATATGTATGTCATCTTAATAGATGTAAATAACAAAAGAAGATAGATTTCCTTGCAAAACAAAAAGGAAATAGCCTAACGCAAGGATCTAGATTTCAATGGAAATCAATTTTCAGCATTTTATCCATCCTCAATTTAAGAGGAAATTAAGAATTTCCGATTAAGTAGGAGAAGTTATAATTTATTAAAGCTTCAATGATTTGCACAGGTCACATTCTTAGCTCAAGTTTAATAAAAAAGCGCAACTAAATATTAGCCTTCACAAATTCTACCATAACATAATTCCATTTCCAAATGTTTTGAGTTTGATGTTTTAAATTCTTACCAGCACTGCCAAATGCCTCATGAATCTCCAAGTGCAAGAAATGAACAATATCTACGAGCTTTTCCATGACCTATGAATAAAAGATATAAAACTTCCTTCCACTACATATATATATATATATATATAAAGTAACTTCAAAATTAAGTAGCAAAAGACACTGGTAACATTATGTACAAGTTTAGACGCAAAGTCCACCATGAAAAGACAAAAAGGATGAATAACAATAACAGATTTTTAGGAGTTCAGCGTAAATTTTTGAAAAACACTAAATTAAAAAGAAAATGCGTAGAGCTTTACTAACTCATACCTCTTCCAAAATCTTAGACCAAAGAGATTTTTTCTTCAAACTTTTCACATGTTTCTTTTGACTCTTTAACTCTGCTCTCAATATCGCAAGGCTGTCTCCTACATGTCAAATTAAAATAATAATATTAAAGGGAAGGGCTTACATGACATTAGCTATATTCCATAACATTATGAAGGAAGGGCGAAAAACTTAATGTAAAACACTTTCATCCTTACAAGAAATAAGACAGTAAATAATTACAGCTGAGCAATGTCTTAGACATATAAATATCCATTCTGACTCAAGCTGCCTCTGAAAACAAAGGCAGCAATACAGGGCTGGGCCCAACAATGAAATATAGGATTGACTGCGGTCCACCAATCTAAAATATGAAAGGTGGAATGAGTTTAAAGGAAACAACGAGATTCATATAGAACTTCACAAGGAACTTTGCAAATGAAATGTCATTAGAATGAGCGCTAACATGCCTGAGAAGGCCCATGATAAAGCTACCAGTCCCTTAAAACTAAAACTGAATTGGCCTTATAGGATTTTGAAGAGATATGAAGAAAAAGAAATTGTTACTTCTACATATATGCAGTTTTTTTAGGTTCAACACAATTCACCATTTTAATCTAGAAATACAAATTAGAAACACCTTGTTAACCTAGAAGTATGCTCCAGAAAAAGTAACAATTCTAATAGAGATCCAAACAACAGGTTACCCCTTTGAGCAGCATTTGAATTATCCTCTTCCTGAAGCTTACGTCGATAATCTTGTTCAAATCTGTCCAAGGCATGCAGCTCATGATATAATTCCTAAAAATAAAAATAAAAACAAAGTCATCTCCTTAAATGGTTAGAGATAAGATGTCAGTTTCAAATCCAGAAACAATGAATTGAAACATTATTCATATGCCTTCTTTTATAAGAAATGCATTGGGACATTAAAGTCAAAAGCATAAAATTTTCCCACAATTGTGTACTCTCAACCAATCTAAATAGCATCTGTCGCCTCTTTTTTGTTCCTACAGCCAATCAGCTTAAACTATCAATTCCCAAACAAGTCTACAAGGTAACTCTTCACTCACAGAAAACACCTAGTTGCACATACAGTTTGCAACTTGCATGGAGCCCCAAATCACTCCTCACTAGCCAATTATCAAGTAGACATGACAGTTGGTTTTTCAACTTACCAGCACATGGAGGCTAGAGTTCCATGTCATACAGGACTGATACATTAAAATAACAAATAAAACACACTAGGCTATTAAGAGGATGAATACAGATTTCTCTCAAACCTTACACAAATCAACAGAAAGTGGAGTTATACCATTGTCAAGGTACATTTTAAAGAGGCAAAGCTGCTATAAGAGACAAAGAACTGCCTTAAAATGCAAAAATAAAGAAGCACATGGTCAAGCCTGTAGGGCATTCATTCCTCTATGGAAGCATGAAAACTAAACCTTACAGGATTTAGGTTGAAAACTTATATCTTTTATATTCCTTTGAAATCATCACTGTTTAGAGCTTGTCATCTAGTCTACACCAAGGTTTTGTGGTCAAAATTCCTTTAAACCACTATTAAACTATCCAATATAGGTAATAAGGAAAAAAGCAGCAAAAGACAAAATTTCACAAGTGGATGCAAAATGAGGTAGCAATGCAAATAATTTATGATTATGAGGAGAGGCAAGAAGGGCATTCTCAAGCCAATGGAAATTAGTAAGAGTTATTGGCAAATCTCTATCAAAAAGATATCTAACAATGACATGAATCAACAAAGAACTGGAATAGGTAGAAAGATTTACACTTATAGATGCCAGAGACAAGATAAAATGAAAACCACATAAGCTGTCTCCCACAAGTTATTCTAGGGCCTTGATGATAACAAATCAGCTGCCAGCTATATTTTTGAAGAATTTTCATATAGTCACTATTCAACATGTGATGGGATCAAGGTACTAAATTTTGATCCATCATTATCAACAAAGATCTCACTTCGCAAGATGCATTCACATGGTCAAATGCAATAGTACAAAATGGCATCAACATAACTTTAACAAATTTCAAATACATAATTTCAGAAGAAAAAAATTCTGAACTGTACCCTGTTAATCATAACATGCCTAGCAATTATGATATCTACCCACCAGCTCATATTCAGAAGAAAGAACCAAAAAAAAAAAAAAACCCAAAAGCCAATCCCTTTGCCATATGGTACACAGTTCATTCAATTTCTCCAAACACAAAGGGACAAAAGAAATCTTTTCTCCACAACTTAGTACAAGATGGAAGATATGGAATCATCTTTGTTTAAATAATATAATCTTAGACTGCAACTTTTGAGAGAAGCTTTCTCGTTATAACAGTATAAACTGATACTTACAGCAGTATAATGAACCAAAGCCAGCAACTGTTGCATTATTGTCTCTGCTTCTTCCTTCAATTGCTTTTCAAGTGTATGTTCTGAACCCAACCTGAAAATTATAAAAGATAGTGCAGAAGCAAATATTAGAATCTTAATCTAATTTCATAAATAAAACTTAAAAAGAGACAGCTGCAAAATTACTTTTCAAAATAACGATCCAAATTGTGCCACTGAGGATCTTTACAACGATTGCCAAAACGTACCACCTCCCCAGAAAAAACTTTTAACTCTTCCCTGTTGGAAAACAAAAAAAAAAAAAAATGAAGTAAAAATACCCTCTCATATTATTAGAGAACATAACCACCATTTTACCATATTAACAAATTGTATAACAAAAGAATCATTTTCAAAGCGATATGGCATTTTCTGCATTATCCACCTCTTATCAGCAGCTGCAATCCTCAGGAGTTCATCCATGTCTCTTGATATTAAATTTTGCACTCCTGATGACAAAAGGACCACTTCTTTTAAATTTCTAATATTCTCCTTAGAAAGCGATTGCATCAGATTGGCACCTTTAACAATTGTATTTGCAACTTCAAAAGCTAGAATTGATATTTTATTCCCTTTTGTCGTTACCCCTGAGGTAAAGCCACTGCTGAGATTCAAATTCGTCATGCTACTACCAAGGGTGTCCAAAACCTCCACTGCCTTTCCAAGCCCAGCAGTACCAGCTCTACCTAAAAGTGAGCTGACCTCAGAAACCTGCAAAAAGAAAGCGACCAATTAATCTTAGAAGTGAGTTTGGTGGACGATACTCATCAAATAAAGTTTGTTGCAACCTAACAAAAAAAAAATTGTAATAGTAGAACCAGAAGCATCACTCTTTGCTCTAAACTCAGCAGGGAGATAAAAACCAGCAATTAGAACGCTAGAATCCAAAGCATTACAATATTAGAACAATAATCAACAACCTCACTTTTCTCCCTACAAACATGAATTTCAGAAAAATCAGCAAATTTCCATATTAAACAAGATCCTTATCATAGTTTTCCACATGGTTCAGGGGCAACCTTCTATATTTCTAATAATTTCTTCCTCATTGCCCTTCCACTCGCACCAAATAATAAAATTCTCAATCTCAATCCTAGCAAATAAAAAGAGCTTAGGCACATCTATGATTAAGTGTGAAAGCTTCAATCCATTCTATACATATTTTAGAAAAATGGAAGTTATCATGACTGTGCTCATACTCTGGACTATTCAATGACATAGAAAAAGATTTTTTTCAGATACAAACTTGAATTGTTTTAGTGAATACTTCAGAATATATATAATTTCATTTTAATTTTGTTTTCCAAATCCATTAACACCGATCACAGAGAAAAGATTTGTAAAATGCTCGCCCTAATTATGGTGAGTAGCTTTTCAAAAAAAAAAAAAAAAGATATCCCAATAGCCCCTTAAGGCATTTGTCAAAAGGCCTCAGTCCTCACCTCTATCAGGAATCACAAATTTTCACGAAGTTACACCAAAAGACCCAACAGTTTCAGTGTTCTAAGGTTAGATATGCTTCCATTAAAATGCAGCATTTAGGAAACAGATATCAATGATACAATCCACAGTTAAGGAGAGAAGAATAAGTTAACACCAAAAACAGCAGTTAGAAAATGTGAATTGTAGTTTGTTAAAATGACAGAAACATAATGAGTTTCACTGCATCAAGCAGTCAGGGATTTTTTCCATCAAAGAAATCATTGTGATTATATATGGTAGACCCCAAAAAGATAAGTTACCATACCACCTTGTGGTTCTGATATAGTAGGTTTCATTAGCGAGTGGATGTTGCATAATCACTAAGTGATTACATATAAATATACCCCCAAAAACAATTCAGCTTCTTTGACAGACATCATGCATCAATATAGCTGTGGAAATCTAATCTTCATTATTACTTGATTAGTTGATTTTATCTATTTTAGTTAAGTCTTTTTAGAATAATAAGTGATTTGAGTAATTACTCTAAATCCATTAGATATTTTCCTATTATGTGTAGAGAGTAAATTACTCCTTTGATTAGCTGTTTTGATGCATGAAAATCTTGGGTTTTAAAGCCGAGAATATTCAGTTTTTAGCCTATATATTTTCATGCAATTCTAGCATTTTAATAAGAAAAATATATAAGAATAAAATAGTTTTATTCTAGAGATTTCTTCATGGTATCAAAGCACGATCTAAACCTTTGAAAATTTTCACTCGGAGTCCAACATGGCCAGCTGAAATGAGAGCCCGGCGTCGGAGGTTACCTCTAACCCTAGAGCTAGCGTTTCTCAATCACTGCAGAACATTACTATTCCTATTCGAACAAGTTCTTTAGTACAAAAAGGTAATTTTCTAAGTGCCTTGAGTGTAAAACTAGAGAAATAAAATTCATGAGTTGCGAATTCAGGAGCTTTAGACCATATGACTAGGGATGCATCTGTATTTAGAAAATACAACCCATGTCATGAAAACTTCACAATTCGAATAGCTGTTGGGTCACTTTCAAAAGTAATCAGTACAAGTTCTATTATCATTTCCAAAGAAATAACACTTGATTCTGTTCTGTTTGACCTAAATCTAAGTTACAATCTACTGTCTATAAGCAAACTTACAAGAGACCTTAAGTGTGTTACTAAATTTCTTCCAAACATGTGTGAATTTCATGATTTGGATTCGAGGAAGATGATTGGCAATGCTAAGATGTGTATAGGACTCTATATCCTAAGAGCTAATGATTTTGAAAGACAAAATCAAAAGACCTCTTGTGTGGCTTCATCTTCCAGTAATAATAAAGATAGTACTATCATGTTATGGCACTATTAGTTAGGTCATCCAAATTTTTTGTACCTCAAAATGTTGTTTCCCTCATTATTCAATCAAAATCTTAACAACTTTCAGTGTGAAGTTTGCCAACTATCCAAACATACTCGTACCACATATCCTAACTAGCCTTACAAACCATCCCATCATTTTTCAATGATACACAGTGACATTTGGAGTCCCTCAAGAGTAAATAACATTATTGGCTCCAAATAGTTTGTCATGTTATTGATGATCACACCAGGGTTACTTGGGTATTCCTTATGAAGGAAAAATAAAAAATGGGCCCGCTATTCCAAAACTTCAACAATATGATCCAAACTCAATTCAAAACCAAAATCCAAGTGTTGAGAACCGACAATGGAAAAGAATACTACAATTCTATTCTTGGATCATATCTAATGAAGCATGGTATAATTCATCAAAGCTCATGTGTAGACACTCCTCAACAGAATGGTGTTGCTGAAAGAAAGAATCAACATTTGTTAAAAGTTGCAAGATCCCTAATGATGGCTGCCTACGTACCTAAGCATTTTTGGGGTGAGGCTGTTCTTACTACTACATATCTTATAAATAGAATAACTTCTCAAGCCCTGAAATTTCAAAGCCCTTGCCAATCCTTTCTTAGTTTCTATCCTCACCTTCAAATCATCTTTTCTATTTCAATTAAAGTGTTTGGATGCACTGCATTTGTTCTTACCAGCCAACAAAACCAAAGCAAATTAGATCCTAAATCCATCAAATGCATATTTCTCAAATACTCCCCTAAACAAAAAGGATACAAGTGTTACTCACCAGTAACAAAGAAATTCTACCATTCCATGAATGTTTCCTTTTTTTAAAATCAACGTTACTTTCCCAAAACTACCATTTAGGCGAGAATCCAATCACATATGAATATCAGCTTTGGGACGATCCTATTACCGAACCCCCAAACACTTCTCAAACTCCTTTTCACGTCCAAAACATCCAACTAGATCCTCCAAGCCCAAAGTCCACACAAGGGAAAACAAACAAAGAATTGATTGTTCATTCAAGAAGATAAAAAACTTAGACGGATATAGTAGAATGTACAACTTCAAAGCAAAACCAAGAATCCAAACCGATTCTAGAGATACTTGAAGCCAACACAAGTAACACTCTTACTGAATCTTATTCAATTGAATCTTTTGATGATCTTGATCAACTGATTGCTCTAAGAAAAGATGTGGGATCATGTACTTAACACTCAATCTGTAATGTGGTTTCTTATGAAGATTTATTTACCCAGTTATTGGGCTTTTGTTACCACACTAAACAATATGCAAATTACCAATAATATTCATGAAGCACTCATGCAACCAAAATGGAAGATAGCTATTTTGGAAGAAATCAAGGCCCTAGAAAAGAACAAAACATGGGAGATTTCAAAACTACCCAAAGGCAAATATCAAGTTGGGTACAAATGGATTTTTATTATCAAGCACAATGCAGATGGACGTATTAACAGATTCAAAGCTTACCTTGTTGCAAAAGGATTTACTCAATCTTATGATGTTGACTATGAGAAGACATTTGCTCCAGTTGCTAAGCTTAATTCAATCCAAGTGTTATTATCATTGGCAGCAAATCTAGATTGGCCATTCCACCAACTAGATGTCAAAACGCATTTCTTAATGGCGACCTAGAAGAAGTTTACACGGAAATCCCTCCAAGATTCAAAAACCAAGCCAATTTTGGCAAGGTATGTAAACTTCAAAAGTCTTTATATAGTCTCAAACAATCCCCACGCGCATGGTTTGATAGACTAACAAAAGTGGTAAAGAAGTATGGGTTTTCACAATGCCAGACCAATCACACCATGTTTGTCAAACATTCACCTGAAGGAAAAACAGTCATTCTTGTTGTCTATGTGGATGACATTATTCTTACTGGAGACTATGTGGAAGAAATTAGCAACCTCAAGAACCTCCTAGCCAAAGAATTTGAAATCAAAGATTTGAGACACCTAAAATATTTTCTTAGCATGAAGGTAGCTCGCTCAAGGAATGGCATCTCTATTTTACAGCACAATTATATCCTAGACTTACTAAAGGAAAACGGAATGCCTGGATGCAAACCTACTAACACCCATATGAACACAATGAATAAGGTAGGAATGGAAGAAGGAAATCCACCAACAGATAAAGGCAGATATCAAAGACTTGTTGGAAAACTCATCCACCTCTCTCATACAAGACTAGATATCGATTTTTCAGTTAGCACAGTAAGCAGATTCATGAACAACCCAACCGAGGAACACTTGAGGGCTGTGTATCGAATCTTATAATACCTAACAGTGTGTTTGGATTGAGTGGAGAGGAAGGAAAGGAAAGTAAAGGAAACCAAATCCCCATTCCCTTGTTTGGATAAATATTTAATTTAAAGAAAGGGAAAGAAGTGGAAACTAAATAACCCTTGGTTTCCCTTGTAAATCCAATTTTTTTAATACCCCAATTTGGAAGAAAAGCTAGGGAAAGGAAAGTTGAAAAACTTTTTTTTTATAAAAAGACTATTATGTCCATCTTTTTATTAATACTAAAAACCTAATAAAAAAAACCTAAGCAGATCACAATCATCCTATAATTTTTTCAAAGCCATCTCTATTTTCAAAACCATCTCTTTTTTCAATTAAGTTTCATATATATCTTCCAATATAAAATTTTTTTATAATTTTTTGGTGATTTGATTTTGATGAATGGTTGAATATAAATAGATATATTTTTTGTGTTTATGAGATGTCAGACTAGGTCAAAATTCATTAATGCATATTTGTAAAACATCTTCATGTTTCACTTGATTAAAAACCATTGATATAGCAGCAATTGTGAGACCAGACAAGATAGCAAACATATCATGGTCCAAGAATGCTCTAAAATCACAAGCAAAGAAAGGTTATAATTGGAAAAAATTATTATAATGAATCATTTCCTTTCTTTTTCACTCTTTATCCAAATAATGATTGTTAGAATTCCTTTCCTTTCCTTTATTAATTTTAATTATCCAAACAAGGGTTACATGTATCCTTTCCTTTCCTTTAAAAAACTTTCTTTTCCTTTCCTTTCTTTTATTAATATTTATCCAAACATAGCGTAAAGAAAAGGGTTATTTTTTAAGAAGACATCACGCCAAAATGTTTAAGTTTACACTGATGCTAATTGGGCTGGATCCATTATTGACCAAAGATCAACTACTAGTTATTGTACCTATATGTGGGGAAATTTGGTTACTTCGTGAAGCAAGAAAAAATCTGTAGTAGCTAGAAGTAGCGCGGAAGCTGAGTTTAGAGCTATGTCTTATGGCATATGTGAGGGAATTTGGCTGAAAAGATTGCTAAGGGAGTTAAAGGTCTTTGCAAAAGAATCCATGAAGATATTCTGCAACAACAAAACTGCCAGAAGTATAGCAAAAAATCCTATTCATCATGATAGGACCAAACATGTAGAGATTGATCATCACTTCATCAAAGAGAAGATAGAGGAAGGAATTGTTAGATTAGTTTATACTCTCACATGCCTCCAAACTGCAAACATACTCACCAAAACTCTCTCGAAACAACTTCGAGAATCTAAAGTCCAAGCTGGGCATGATTGACATCTACCACCTAGCTTGAGGGGGAGTGTGGAAATCTAATCTTCATAATTACTTGATTAGTTGACTTTATCTATTTTAGTTAAGTCCTTTTAGAATAAGAAGTGATTTGGGTAATTACAACAAATCCATTAGATATTTTCCTATTATGTGTAAAAAATAAATTACTCCTTTGATTAGCTGTTTTAATGCATAAAAATCTTGGATTTTAAAGCTGAGAATATTCAGTTTTTAGCCTATATATTTTCATGCAATTTTAGCATTGTAAAAAGAAAAATATAAAAGAATAAAATAGTTTTATTCTAGAGATTTCTTCAATAGCAAACATAAAAAATTAAAATATGATAATGAAATTATAAGAAAAAAAATACAATCGCACTGACACTTATAGCATGTCCAGAGTAGCAACATAAGCTTCGATTGTTTCATTAATATCATCATAAAGCCATTTGAAATTACTTCAATTTCCCACTCCCACCCCCACCCCCCAAAAAAAAAAAATCATATCAGTGTTTCCCTCGTTAAATTTAGCTCAAATGGTTTTAAAATTCTTGGATGCTCTGGTTATCAGAACATAAAGCCCTAGATCAGGAGTTTGCTTCCAAAGTAATGAGAAAACTATTCATCTTATGCAGAAGAAAGTCTTTCCTGAAACTAATAGTTGGTTCCTAATTGCTAGTCCAGAAGCAAAAGACAATTTTTTCAGCTCAAATCATACACCACCACTCCCATTCATAAATATTTATTCCAGTAGCAAAAGACAAAATTTCTCAGCTACATCATATACAATTACTTCCATTTAAACATGAATTTTAACATAGATTATGGCAAAGATAAAGAAACTCAGACCCGCACTCTAATCCAGCCACCACTCAGACATTGCAAATTACAAAATCATCAAGGCAATATCTTACAATAGAATTTCTCAAGTCTAGACTCAACTTTAAATCTCTGATGCTCAAGTTTGGGCTCCTACTAATCCATTATTTTTTCCCACTCACATGCAGCATAATTCCACATGGTCCAATAATGGATACTTGTGCAACTTCAAAAAAGGCCACGAAGAATTGTGTGTGTGTGTGTGTCACAAACCCCCTAACAGAGTTAAATACAGTACGTTTCTATAGATATGTGGGAAGACTAAGTTTTCTAGCAGAAAGAAAGACTTTCCATATCATGCAATATATGAAACTGCACAAATATTGTGTTTGTTGGGGATCACAAGTTTTCTAGCAGAAAGAAAGACTTTCCATATCATGCAATATATGAAACTCCGTAAATATTGTGTTTGTTGGCAATCACAACATGTATTTCAAATAAATTTTGTAGAAGTAACTTCAGCTCTGAAAATATAAGAAAGTTGCAGGCCCAGTTTCATTTCACAGGAAACAGTCCAGAAATTGGTTATGGATTATGCATTAAGTGATATATTCAGAGGCAAGCAAGGCTCTGGCTACTGAGTTTTGAGCATTTAAGTATCAAGATACGCAGAAAATGATTGTAACTAAGTTGAGAATGTTGCAGCAGATGTGCCGATATACAAGAAAAGATCAGAAATGGTTGCAATTAGAAAAGTATGGAGGTAGCAGAAATTTAGGACAAACTGAGGACAACATATTTAAGGTGGTCCAAACATGCTAGAGTGAGACAAATATCTACAAATGCTCCTATTGATTTTAATGGAAAATTCACAAATTGAAAGAAGAGTGAGACCAAAGGAAAGATAGAAGGAAAGTATTAAAAAAGGAATTTTCTCTTAATAATCTTACTTAGGATATGATCCTAAACATAGCACAATGGTGAGATCAGATCCATGTAGACAACTAAGTACTTCTTGTTGCTAGTGTTGCTCCAGCTCTTCGTTGTCCATGAAGTACCCATGAGCAAAACATCTAAAGGGTTTGGTTATGGAGGCCCAAACCTCCAAAAATAAGGAAAAACTTAGAAAATTCAAACTTACCATGTTGGACACATACCCACGTTCAACACTCACCCCAAGTCCCAGTAACATAGGTTTTTGCTATTGGATTAAGATAGGACTTAATTTCAAAATCTAATCCATTTAAAATTTAGGAAATTTTCACAGAAAAATTACAGAAGTACTTCCAACAAAATGAGAAAATTTCAAAATACATCCTTCTAAATGTTATGTTTTTTCTAAAGGGAAAGAAACTATGAACATCATTTTCACATTCCTTAAAAGCAACATTCATTCAAGGAAACAAAAATTCAAAAACACAAACAAGAGTCCCAAAATAAGTGTATTAAGAATAGAAATCAGTTGGAATCCTCAAAGCAAGTAGTTTTTATTTTAGCTTTCGAATTTTTTATAATTCTAAGCGCTAACCATTCCTTTAGTTTCACTGCATCTTTTTGCACTTTCGAAACCACTAGCCACTCTTTAGTCGTGTACTGGAGTTCAAATCCTCAATGAACATTAAAAATTAATTCTGTATTTAAAGTTCTCTCTGAATGATATGACAGTCTATAAAGAAGTGTTTATGCTACACTTTTTCCTTATCTATTCTTGATTCAAGAAATATATATTTTGAGCTTATTGATGCTTATGGAACATATCCTCTTTGGATTTTCCTAAAACAATTTCATGGAACCGAGGAAACATTTGACCCACGAAAAGAGAGAAAGAAAACATAAATAAGCATCCAGAGAGGATATGATAAAAATGTGTCTCAATAAGTGCACATATGCATAATCCAAATGAAAATAGACTAGTTTTATGCCCTTGATCATAAAATATCTAAAATTTATAATACATTCATTTTTACAAGCATCTCCTTGCACAAATGAAAAAAAAATAGTCTAGTTTGCCTCAGTGAAACCTAGTGAAAACATATTCTGATCATACAGAAATAGCCATAGACACCAAGATAAGGTTCAGAAGCAGTAAATATAACAGAGAAAGAAAAGTAATAGTCATTAACAACAATATAACCATATATTCTTATCTCTAAAAAAGCATGCATTCAAGCTTTTACCCCTTTCTGAGGATAGCTAGCATAGAGACAAAATGATAAAGCCCAATAAACAACATCTCTTGGTTACACAGCTGCTTCTCTTAGTCTGTCACTTAAATAACTCTTTGTCCATCTTTAGTTGTATTCTTTGTTGTCACAAATTGTACTCTGCCAAATATCAAAAGTCAAAACCTATCCTGGTTCCTACATCTAGCAAACAGCTATTGACCCAGAGATGAAAGGAGGAAAACAGACAGCCAATTTAACCACAACCAACTAACTCATTCATCATCTTGGAAAGAAAGAAGAAATTTATATGGCTTTGACTAAAGAGGCGTTCAATTAACACTAAAATGGACAGCTCTAAGAATAAGCTCGTAAACCCCCTTTCAGTCATCATGCACTTTCACCGTAGAGAACAAGAGCAGCAGAGAGAGAACAGATAAATTCCAGGCAGCTACTCATGAATATAAATCTTAACATCCTATTGTAATCTCCCAACACCTTCTGCATCAGTTTCCTTCCAAGTAAATAAAACCAATTAACAAAATAGTCTACTCCAACACAACATAAGCACCTATGGACAAAACAGATAATTGGGACAAATTTAAAACCAATTAAAAACAAAGTCTACTCCAACACAACATAAGCACCTATGAACAAAACAGATAATTGGGACAAAATTGTAGAGGAACACATTGGGACTTGAACTTACCTTTGCAACAGCAGCCTGCTTAGATTTGGTTGATCTAGATTTATTTGATAGTGCCCTTGACAAATGAGGAATTCTATCATCAATATCATCTGGACTCATACCATATGGAACTGTACTGATCTCTGGAAACGAAAAGGGTTCTCGTAACTCCTTGTCTGCATTATCTGAATTATCCTCAGGGAGAGGATTTGAATTGGTGTTTATCCGCGTGGGCAGTTCACGGGTCTGAAAAACGAATCCAGGCACTCGACCAATATGGCCATTAACATGTGGAAAGCCTCCACTGGGAGCATTATCTAAAGTGGATCTCCTCGAGCAAAGCCCACCCATTTGTGTCGATAACCGTGAATTTTATACTTCAGTATTGATTGAAATTTGCCATATAAAAGCCAACAAGCTCTCAAGTATGTACAAGAACAAAGACAGTTTCCTTCTTTTATCAAAACAATCTAAAAATCTAATCAAAAGCCCCCCAACTTTTCACAAACTGATAGGGCCCTTAGCTACTTATTGTATCATACCAGTCTAAACCTAGAGATATAAAACCAAGCCCCAGCAAAGCATTCACAGTACCAATTTTGATTCATAATGAAGCTCCAGTCCATTAACACCAAGTCTCACCATACTGTAAAACAGCAAGAAAACAAGCATACCCATGAATACAAATTCCAAATAAAGAAGCAAAGAATGAACAAAACCCAGTTCACAGCATCTATAGAAATAAGCAAAAGACAAATCAGTAACAAAAACAAGTAAACGGATTTTGACTATGCTGACTAAAACAAAGAAAATCCAGAAAGCAGGCAAATACCCAATTAGCAAAAAAATAAAATAAAATAAAAACTTTGAGATTAAAACACTGCCCAATATAACCAAAAAGAAGTAATTTAAATCCAAAAAAAAAAAATAAAGCTTACCAGGTGGGGAGATAGAGAAAAGGGTTGGATCTAAGAAGAGAGAAAGATTATAAGAGATGCTGGGTTCTGTTGTTTACTAACAAAGATACAAACTTTACAAAGAGAATAGAAAGAAAAGAAAAGAAATTTCTTTAAATGATGGTGATGTTAAGAAGAATAGATCAGTAACAATAGCAAAAACAAGAGAAAAAAAAAAGTCTTTAAAAAAAATTGTGAGAAAATTACAATGAGAGGGGGACTGGAAGAGAGAAGACTTCTCTTCCTAGGGGGTGTCAGTCAGGGCAACTTGATAGTTTCTCTCTTTATTTTGTCACTGCTAAACAAACAAAACACACTCGTTTTAGTCTTTTTACATCGAAAGAACAGAGAAAAATAAAGGGAGAGGAAATGGTCAAAAACTCTTCTCCTGAAAAAAAAAAATCAACTTGTTTTTTTAATTTTTTTTAGAATTATTATTTTTAAATATGATTTATTTATTTATTTTGTGTTAAATATATATATAAATAAAAAATATTATATTATATTTTTATATTCACATATTAAATATAAAATATATTTTTTATTTTTATTAAACTTATATATGATTTTTATTAAAATTTTAAATCATAAATTTTATATTTTTTATATTATTTTTGTATCATATAATGTTATAGTATTTAAAATTATCAAATTTATTTTTTTTCATATAATTAACTTTTAACCATTTTTTTTCAAAGACTTACTCATCTTTTAATTCTGATTCAGTGCTAATATTATATAAACAAAAAAAAATTCTAATTCAATTACACTCTTTTTTACTTTCATGGGTCAATTCTATTTTTCCTATTTTTTTACATGTAAAATTTTATTGAAATCGTTGATTAGAATATTTATTAAAACATAAATCTCATTTTTGTTAGGACAAAATTTGAATATGAAATCTTCGTTAAAATCTAAAGATAAATTTAAATTGATATGTAATGTATGAAAAACTTAATGGAAAGATAATTTTTGTAATAATGTTAACCTATTTTCGTGATTATACCAATACATAGGGATGGAAAGTTCCAAACTTTGTCTTGTAATATTTGTCTTCTAATGTTTGTTTTTTCCTTTTACCTGCTAAAATTTTTAATCAATTAGAATGCCAAAAAGATTTTTCTAAAAATTGTCAACTTTCAAATTTTTTTATTAAACAATTAAAATTGTATTCTACATACATTTTTCTATTTCTTTTCTTTTAAAATATTTTTGAAAGAAGTAGACACCAAAATTGACTGATGTAATTTTGTTTATATTATTATTATTATTATTATTATTATTATTATTATTATTATTATTCTAAAAAAAAGAAAAAAAATATGTTTGTTTCACCTCTGACAGTTGAAATCAAGATGCCAAAGTGATTGATATTTTCTCCTTAACACTGCCTAATTTGGTAGCATGAAATCCGGTGATCAAAAGTCACCGGATAAGCTTCAAAATTTTTCACAAAAAGATTTCAAAAGATCTAGGACTTGAATCCCAAAAGCTCTATAGAGCTAATTTCTACAAGAGAAAGAGGATGAGAGAATAAAAAGAAAAAAAACTAAGGGTTCTACAAAACAAAAATAAAAAAAAAAAAAAAGCAATCACAGTCCTCTTTGAGGAACTAGTAGCAAGCAAAAATATTTCAAAAAAAAAATTCAAGAATAAAATTTTAAATCTAAGAGGTTTGAGGTTTTTTTTTTAAAATTTGAGTTTCAAAGAGTGTTTAGAAAATAAAAGGGAACAGTTTGGGATTTTTTTAGAATCTTTTAAAAAAATTTTGGGTCGTTGGAAACTAGAAAAGTTTAAAATTTTAGACGACCGTTGAATTTTTCGACGACAGAAATCTAGGCTTATTGCTAGAATTTGAGAATTTTTTAATTTTTTGATGCCAATTAAAGTTTTTGGCCACTGGTGCACGATGACGACCAGCCGAAAACTGGGTAACTTTGGTTGCTGATGAGAGGAGTTTGGGTTTAGAGAGAGAAGCTCAGAGAAAGGGAAAGAAAAAAAAAAACTGAAATAGGCCTTCTATAGGCATTCTAAAATGACATCATTTCAAGCGTTTGACCTATGCAGGGTCCGCACTTTGACTCATGTGCCAACCTAACCCGTTTCGTAGGTTTTTTTTCTTTTTTTAATTTTCTATTTTGATTTTTATTTTATTTTGTGTTGATTTTTATGATTTTTTTATGATATTATTGTTATTGTTATTATTGTTATTTTATGTTATTACTAGTAATAACTCTTTTATAAATAAATAAATAAAACTAAAAAAAATAAAGACCTAAAAAATATAATATGCAAAAAAAATTAATAATAATAACTATTTATGAAAAATAAAATTTTATTACAAGTAAAAATGTTATTTAAATTTCACCAAACTGTTGAGATAATTTAAAAAATAATTTTTGCTAAAAAATAATAAAATAAGAAAAATGATAAATAAAATAAAAAATGATAAATTGTTTAAACGAATCTTTTTAAATATAATTTTTAGAGAAAGCTGAAAGAGTTTAGTTTTCTTTAATTATTGCAAGTAAAAATAATTTTTTCAGATTTTATCATAGAGTTGAGATAATCCAAAATTATTTTTACTAGAACAAAGGTTGATTTAAACAATGTAAAACAATAATAAAAAATAAAAAAATAATAGTAATAATTTATATATTGAATAAATTTTTAAAAAATATAAAAAATTGAAAGAGTTTGATTTTCTTAAATCCAAATAAGAGATTAAAATTTAAATTTCATCGGTAAGTCGAGATATTCTAAATTTTTTAATAAAAATAATTAAATAATAAATAATATAAAATTTAAAAATAAACATAATACAGAATTAATTAATTAATTAATTCCCTTAATTATAATAAAAATTTTATTTAGGATCTTGTTAGAAAGTTGGGATGATCCTAAAACTTGTTAAAATTTTTAAGATTTTGTTAAAAAGTCAGGATAATCTTAAAATTTGTTTAATAAATTTTAAGAACTTATTTAAGAGTTGCGATGTTCCTAAAATCATCTTTTTTTATAAATAAAATATCTTATGGATTTCGAGAATTTTATAAATGGTCAATTTTTTCAAAATATTTTTTAAATAATGATTTTTTATAAATTCCACCAAAGCATTGGAGAATTTATAGAATACGGAAACAATAATAATAATGTTAATTTCACAAAAAATATTTTTTAAAAATAAATTTTAGGAAATTAAATTTAAATAAAAAAATCGCATTATCAAAATTATAGGATTATACATGTTTAATTGGTATCGTTCTTCGAACGGGTGACGTGAGAGTACTAATACCTTCATCACTTGTAACCATACTCCCAGACTTAAACCGAATTTCATAGAGCTAAACTTCTTTTAGTAAATCTTATTTAATTTTAAGATTTTTACTAAAAGATGATATTTTTTATGGCCAATCATACCCCATAAAAAGATTGGTAGTGACTCCGAAAACTTTTACCAAGTTTAGTAATCGAGTCCATCCAGACAAAAAATCATTATGACAGCTTGACAACTCCATTAGGGACACTTGAGAGTCAAGCCAAAAAATTAAATATGCATCATCAAAATTTTGATTTTATGGTCTTTTCTATATTTAATTTTAATTTCTTATCTCATCTAAGAATAAAAAAAAGAAAAATAAATTCTTTTTTTATGGTTTCATTTAGTTTTGTTATGTTATTATACTTATTTTATATTAATGCTAATTATATTATTAATTTTATTAATAATTGTTACGTTCCCTCACACACATGCACATTTGAATTCATGCACGAGCTCTATATCTGGGCTCCCAAATCTATCCTTTTTTAGAAAGGAGTAGAGTACTTATGCCTTCGTGAGATTATAATACATCTGCTTGGGCTAGCAAAATACTTTCACACAAGTTGAATCATTTCTGTCGGTAGCCCATTATGGATGAGGATCGAAGGCTTTACTAGTCCAGAGTGGATGATAGTGAGGATCAATTTGAGAACCTTTTTAACCTATGTTAATTACCAAACTATGCATATAGTGAACCGTAAGAAACCAATCTTAGATACGGCCATACCATTTTTGTAGATTATACCATAAATTAAGACACATGAAGGAATATTTATTTTAATATGATTACTAACCCTATTTTGTTTTGTTCTTCTTTTGTTTTATGATCATGTATAATCATAAACACTTGCATATGAAATGTGCTTATCAACATGCCAATATCAATCAAAAGATTTTTAGTCTTGCTTCGAAAACACCATCATGATGTTCGAAGCTCACTATGTGTAAAAAAACCAATATGATGATAACTTTATCATCATATTGGCTAAAGTAAAATGGGAAATTTTTTGAAAGAATCTAAACAAGAAACTTTGCTTGAAGAAATCAAATTGGAACTTCAACAAAATGACATCTCTAAGTTGGTTAAGATCTGATGCTGTGTAACAACTCCTAGGGAAATAGCTTTCGAGGAAAAATACAATCATATTACTTCACTCCTTGAGGTGTCTATGGAAAATCAGTTGATAAAAGCTTTAGTTCAATTTTAGGACGCTGCATACAGATGTTTCATATTTAACAAGATAGATATAACCCCAAAGATCGAATAATATACGACATTATTTTGGTTGCATCTTCTCAATCCAGATAAGATTTATTAACGTGGTCAAAAACTTGGATTTCGAAAGAAACTTGCTTGTATGATGGAGATCCCCACTCAGAACATGAACTCATAAAAAAATGATTACATCCCGTAGGGAATCTTACGTGATTACATCATTAAACACTTAAAAAATGAACAAAACATGAGAATGATGGCTTTAGCAATTTATGGCTTAATTATTTTTCCAAAGGTCTTAGGGCACATTGACTTATTAGTAATTGACTTATCAGTAATTGACTTTCTGGAACAAGTGGACAATAAAATTAATCATGTTCTTTCTAAATTGGTAGAGACCTTTAGATCATTGAATCATTATTAAAGAAGAGGAAGACACTTCATAGGATATGCACAATTACTTTACATTTGGGTAAAAAGTCATCTTTAACATCCTATAGGTAAATTTTATCCTACTTATAGTAATAAAAATAGGTCAATTGAAGAATGTTGTAATGTTGAGTGGCCAAAATCAAAGATTAAAGAAGAGTGGGTATTGACTTTGCAAAATCTCACTAGTGTTTAGGTTATATGAAGAGCTCCATGGATGCCACAAGAAGCAATGTTCTATAAGTGTGGTGACAAGCCATGGGTTCCACTTTTAGAACCGTGGAGAGGTATAAGATATGCCTTGACACCAGTTCATCAACAATTAGGGTTAGAGCAATTTGTCCCGATAACTCATGGGCTTCAGAAATTAGAATT